CTGAAAAAATCTTTGTATCTTCACAATGAAATTTTTCTGCACATCCTTGAGTTATAGTTTTTTTTTTCCGTCGCTTTAGCGCAAAATTTATGTTTCTAAAATCTTTGTATCTTTTTTAAACTCCATTTAGTACTTTTAAGTTATCGTTTTAATACTTGTTTATTTTAACAAAATTTAGCACGCATTAAGCAAATTCTGTCAGCATTCTTTCCAAATTCTCTCAGCATTTCGTAGTTTTTTCCAATTTTCTGTAAACTATTTCGCTCCAATTAAGATTCTGTCTGGGGAATATTTTTGATAGCTCTTGGAGCTATCAAAAATATTCCTAGATAAAAAATATTCCTAGATAGATAATTTTTAGAAATTAGTTGTTTAGCTCAATTTTAGATTTTCGGTAATAAATCGGGTCTTAGTGTGAGATCTTAATGCTAATAAAATGCAACTGCACGTTAGACGCACCTAAATCAGGCTATTCTGTCTGGTCCAGTGCCCCTTGCAACTTATTAGACTATCATCTCGCCGGTAACTGAGTGGTCCTTTTCCCTCTCACAGATATTGCTCATTGTGATAAGAGTTGTCCACCACTTTCAATAAAGCAAACTTTCTTTCTCTAATTAATGTAAAACTTAAATTGTAGTAATGCATATTTGAAATTTTGCGATGGATACCGTAACTAGGAGCGTGAATGAGTCGCTTCGAGCAAACCTCCTACATCGATTGTTCATGTTCGCAATTCCTGGACGGAGTGAAATGAGTATTTTTTGTTGGTGAAAAGCACATGCGCACGATCAGTTCACACACTCTCTCCACATCACGTTGATATTAGCCCTTCATTGATCCTAGTGTTGTAATACAAGTGCATATGTATCTGAATGTCAAAACTGCTCATTGTTTTGCTAAAAATTCCAATTTTTTTTAGTGACCAGTTTGGTAAGTCCGGGACTTGAGTCCTCGAAACTATCCGGAATCGATGAAGAGCAACAGTGCTGCATGGTGCGTTCTGTTGAGGTATTTTGTTGGACTAGCTTCAGTTGTCCTCAACTCTCAGAAATCCTCCCTTCTCCCTTCATTGCCGTATTTTGCATGTGAAGTTGTAATTGGTGGGCTAGCTTTGCTGGTACCCATCAACTGTGACAAATGAGGCAAAATATCTGCGAAAAAAAACAAATGGTCATACTGACTGACATCGAAGCTGTGGTGTGCGTATAGAGTAGCGAACCAAAACAAGGTTTCACGTAGTTGCTCTCAGATGCTACGTAAGTTCCGCTAGCCCAGTTCGGGGCGA